ACCTCATGAATAGATTTTTCAAGCCATTCCTTGATACATTTATTATCGTATTTATAGACGATATTCTGGTTTACTCTAAAGGCAAGGAAGATCATGCAGAGTACCTCAAGATAGCCTTGTAGACCTTTAAGGAGAATGAGCTTTATGCCAAGTTTTTAAAATGTGAGTTCTGGCTGCAGTCAGTGGCATTCTTAGGCCATGTGGTATCTAGTGAAGGCATAAAAGTAGACCCTCAGAAGACAGAAGCAGTCAAGAACAGGCCAAGGCCGACAACGCCAACCGAAATCAGGAATTTCTTGGGATTAGTTGGCTACTATAGAAGGTTTGTAGAGGGATTTTCCTCACTTGCAGCTCCATTAACTAAGTTGACCTAGAAAGCAGTTAAGTTCCAGTGGTCAGACGCTTGTGAGCAGAGTTTTCACGAGTTAAAGAAGAGGTTAACCACTACACCTGTGTTAACCTACCGACAGGTTCGGGTGGGTTCACAGTGTATTGTGATGCCTCTAGATTTGGTCTTGGTTGTGTTCTTATGCAAGATAGACAAGTTATAGCTTATGCTTCCATGCAGTTAAAGAATCATGAGAAGAACTACCCCATACTCGACTTGAAGCTTGCAGCAGTGGTGTTTGCATTAAAGATATGGCGACACTAATTTTATGGCGAGCATTCTAAAGTGTTTACAGATCACAAAAGCCTTCAGTACATTTTTCAAGTAAAAAGAATTAAATTTGAGACAGAGAAGGTGGCTCGAGCTTTTGAAGGATTATGACATCAATATCTTTTATCACCCCGGGCAAAGCTAATGTGGTAACAGATGCACTTAGTAGGAAGTCAATGGGTGTCTTGTCCCATCTTGCAGTACAAAGGCGATCTTTGGGTCAAGAAATTCAAAAATTGGCAAATGATGGAATTAGATTGGATGAGACCAAAGAAGGAGGTATAACTACTTATGCCTTAGCGCAATCCTATCTTGTTGCGCATGGTAAAGCTAAGCAAGACGAAGATCCGTACTAAGTGAAGTTAAAAGAAGGAGTCAGAAACAAAGAAATCACTACTTTCACTCTAAAAACTGATGGAGTTTTGAAGTTGAATGATCAGTTATGTGTGCCTGATGTAGATGGTTTTAGGAAGGCCATAATGGAAGAAGCTTACATCTCGAGGTACTTTATCCACCTAGGTTCTATCAAAATGTATCTGGACTTGAAAGAGTTGTATTAGTGGAAAGGTATGAAGAATCAAGTAGCAGATCATGTGGCCAAATGTTTGAATTGCCAGCAAGTCAAAGCCGAGCATCAGAGGCATGGTGGCCTAGCTCAGTATATAGAGATACCACAGTGGAAATGGGAGATGATTAATATGGATTACGTAGTAGGTCTGCCTCGCACATACCGTAAGCATGATTCAATTTGGGTTATTGTAGACCAACTCACAAAGTCTGCCCATTTCCTACCAGTAAAGACGACAGATTCCGCAAAGCAGTATGCACAGTTGTATATCAAAGAAATAGTCTGATTGCATGGTACTCTAGTTTCAATCATATCTGACAGAGGCCCTCAGTTCACGACGCATTTTTGGTAGGCATTTCAGAAAAGATTAGGTACCAAGGTCAATTTGAGCACCTATTTCCATCCACATACCTATGGTCAGGCAGAAAGGACCATTCAGACTCTCGAAGATATATTGCGCGCATGTGTTATAGATTTTGGAGGAAATTGGGATGATCACTTGCCACTTATAGAATTTGCTTACAATAACAGCTATCAGGCCAGCATTGGTATGGCTCCTTATAAAGTGTTGTATGGGCGAAGATGTAGGTCTCTAGTGGGTTGGTTTGAACCAGCAGAGGTGTCGTTGATTGGTCTAGAGTTTGTTTGGGATAGAGAAAGTCCAGCTAATCAGAGAAAAACTGAAAGCAGCTCAGAGTCGTCAAAAGTCCTATTCTAACAAGTGGCATCGTGACTTAGAGTTCATGGTTGGTGATAAGGTGTTTTTGAAAGTTTCACCAATGAAAGGAGTTATGAGGTTCAGTAAGAAAGGGAAATTTAGTCCTAGGTTTATCGGGCCCTATGAGATTATAGAAAAGAAGAGAAAAGTGGCCTATGAACTAGTGTTGCCCGTTGAATTGTCCTCTGTCCATCCTGTCTTTTATGTGTCTATGCTTAGAAAGTACATTCATGATGAGTCGCATATAAAACCTGTCGATACCATAGAAATTAAAGAAGGCTTGACTTATGAAGAGTCACCTATAGAATTCCCGATAAGCAAGTAAGAAAGTTGAGAACAAAAGATATAGCGTCGGTAAAAGTTTTGTAGAGTAATCATGATTCATAAGAGGCTATGTGGGAGGTCGAGGAAGATATGAGGAAGAAGTATCCTTATTTATTTGAGGAACAATGTATGTGAACCTAGGTTTGGCTTGGCATTTATATTTCATTTATTAAATACAAGTTAGCATGTGTTTATGTCCTTGCTAGATTATACTTAGTTGTTGAAGTAATTTAGTTTCTGTCAGAGTATATTTAGTTATTAAATAATTTAGTACCATGCCAGAGTACATTTAATTCATTAAAGTTATTTACTTTTTGCTGAAGTATTGTGCTTTAGATTTTGGTTGGTTATTATGGTACCTCCTTGCCGGAGTGTGAGTAATTAGTTTATGAGTTGTGTATGGTGCCTATGAATGGCCTGTTATGATATATTTGGTTATTTTTGGTGTAGTTGTGGTATTGGTGACAGAGATATTTTTTTGGATAGTCCAATTTATAGGGGAGACTCTGCCGAAAGTTTTGAAACTTTAAGGAGTTAGCCAAAATTTTGAGTCCCTTGAGAAAGTGAGTAGTGCTAAGAAAACTTAAGAAGTTCAAGGACTTAAGGAATGATTGTTAGCTTAAGAATAAGGCCCTAGGAATATTCGAGGACGAATGTTTTTAAGGAGGGAAGATTGTAACATTCCTTAAATCTATAAAAGTTTTAACACACGTTAAATATAGAATTTTTTTTATCTTGCATTGAGTGCATAAAAATTATACTTCTATTACGGATTTAGATTGACTTTTGAGTTACTAATCTATTTATAAATAATTGTATATACAATTAGGAAAATATTAATAATTTTAATATTATTAATTGTTAACAGTGGGTATAATTAAATACTAGTTATGTCAAAAAAAAAAATAAGACACTTAAAATTGGGCCTAAGGCCCATAGATTAGTAGGTACGTAAGGTCAAGGAAAGGCTTAAAGCCTTGGATGAAAGGGGGACAAAGGCAAATAATACAAAGCAACAAGTCAATAATTAGACCTTTAAGGACAAGAAACAGCGGCAGCAAATCCAACGAACTATTTAAGCAAACAACGAAAATTCTAGGCTTCTTTACAAATAACTAGTTCTTGAACACAAGTATAAGAATTGGATAGTTAATTCCCTTTTTTCTCTGTATCAACAGTAAATTTCATGTTTAGGTGTGAAACTTTAAAATTAATTAAAATGCATTGGTTGTTGTAGAATCGATTGTTTGACGGGTATAAATTGGACCGGAGCCTACGTATTGGCTCGAGGAGTTTTGAGGTGGGTGGATATAACCTTTTACTAAAGTGGTTCTACTCACAAAGACACGCCCACAAAGTATTTGATAAAATATTTTAAAGAGTCAACATGTGCTTAATTGGAACGAGTGAATACATGTTGACTAAGTATATTCTAGTTAAAGTTTATATATTTTTCTCGAGAAGTATAATCGTCTATATTCCATATTTTTATGCTTTAATACATGATCTTACATGTTAAAGTTTCAAGAGTTAGATAGAACTTTTAAATATACTTTGAATAATTTTATAGCATACACTCAAGAATATTATTATGAATACTGATAGATTACTTTCAAACAAGATTAAGACTTGAAAAGTCACAAGAGGAAGTTTTAGAAAGATAAGATTTTTTGGAGTATACTCTGTTTTAAGAAGTGGTCATCGTCCAGGCCGAGGGTCCTGACCAAGGAGTTGACTTCCTGAAATTACTTGTGCCAAAGTAGGAGCACACGAGCCGAGGGTCTCGTTGCTGAGAATTTGCCTAGCCAGGCTAAGGTATGATACATAAGCGCTGAGAACCATGAAGCGAGTGGCACCTCGTGGATTGGGCCTATTCGATCAGCTTGGGATCGAACACGTGCGGATCACACAGTGACTAAGATAAAAATAAGTCAGGATAGCTGGAACTCCCGAAGCATAAAGTGAAGTATATTTTTTTTTAGATAAGAAAGAAAAAGAAAAGAATTTCTTTTAGAATATTCATAAACTGTCGTTACGCAATTATTTTTAGAATTTCGTAGAAGCTTTATATTTTCCATGCATTTAGAATCTTTGCTTGTAATATATATTTTATTAAAGTTTCGTCCCCTATCGTTGAGACTCACTGGGTACAATCGATGGTACTGACGTTCTCTTTTGAGAACCTACGTTGGTCTGCGGTACAACGTAGGAACCGGTTTTGCAGGCGAGCAAGCTACGGGTTAGGACTTCCCTCGCTTCCAGTGCTATTGGTGAGCTCAGCTTTTGTTTGTGGAGTACTCCTTTGAGTCGTCATTATTTAGTTATTTCTTTTTTTATTAGGAGAACTGGCCAGGACATTTCATGTCCTAAGCGGTGCGTCAGTTTATCAATAGAGGCCTCATAGACACTGTCGGTGGGTTAAGATTCATTATTTTTTATAATAACTTTGCAGTATTTCAGTAGTTACTATGAATAAAGTTTTGGAGTTGGTTTATTTTAGACATTCAAATTAATTAAAAGTATTTGGTTAAAGTATTGCTTTGCTGCATATAAAGTTTGAGGTTATAATAGTTTTGATAAGCGCAGATGGTTCACTCGGTCAAATTTAGCGACCGGGTGCCGGTCACGGCTTGTTCACAAAATGGGTCGTGACATTAATTGATACGAAAATAAGAAATCAATGAATTAAAAGCACATACAGTACATTATACATATTTTGATGCATCTGCAGACTGCTGTGCAAGAACGTGGTACAAAACTTCATTCTTAAGACCTAATTATTCAATAGATACAACAAGTTGATCTAAAAGAGTATATTAGAAGGGAAAAACTTGAAGAAACTAGAGAAACTTTTTAGGCTAAGAAAAGCATGAGCAAACATATGACCAAGTTGAACTTGTGCTGGGGTAGTGAGATGAATACCATCTGGACCCAGTTCTAGTCCCTTAGCATCTATTTTGACCACATTTGGGACATTGATAGCCAACTGAGTTGCTCTCACTTCTTCTATATATGGCCCTTTAAATGGCTCCTTCGGGTATGGAAGGATAACCTGTCAATAAATAAAAGTTAAATCCTAACGTATATAATCAAGAAAATATGAAAGAATTAATGCAAGTTATATATTTGGTCGGTAGGCCAAAAATAATGACATTCGTCAATTAAATATAATATATATTATCCCACAAGGGTTGACTGAGTTGGTTGAGCGAATGGTTTCCCATACAGGAGACCTGGGATCGTTTCCCCTCACCAGTAGCCTCCTCAGTCAGAGCTCGTTGCACCGGACTTGTCTAATGCGGTTTATATCTCCTATGTGGTTTGCGAGCTATTACATAGTGAGCAGGTTACCCAGTGCGCACCTGAAGGATAGCGGCTGCGGATTTCCTTGGGAATGTTTCAAAAAGTATGTATATTATGCCCTAATATACAAAAAATATACATTCTGCCGGTTATTATATTTTGCAGCAGTTTGTACAATATAGTTTTCCAAAGAATAATTAATACGTACCTGCAAAATGGGGAGATTAGGAGAATTCAAATCAGTGCGCAAGTCATGAATGAATTTCTCCAAGTTGGTTTTATATACTTTTGATCCATTCCCACCTTTTACATCACTCTCCCCATGATACCACAATAACCCCCTAATAATTCCTCCATCTTTTTCAGCAGATTTGGCTCTTTTAACCAAATCATCATAAGGTAAAGACCCACGGTGCCATTTAGAAAGAGGAGTCCCTCCTCTAGCACAAGGTACTAAACCTATAACCCCAAATTCTGAATCTTTTTTAAGGATCTCATTAGCAAAAGCCATACCAGGGCCAAGTCCACAACTTGCTAAGCAATCAATTCCATAATTCATAGGCTCATGTGCTTCTTCCCATTTTAAAGCAGCATTAAATCGTAAAATCTTTTGGTTTGGTTTACATTCTTGAGGCACAAAACCATTCCAAACTTTGGTAATAGTTCCTTCTGTTGAAACTTCTTTAGTAACTCCGCCACGTCCAGCCATGTTGCTTTGCCCTGCTAATAAAAATATTTGTAAATTATTTTTGCCCGTATTGTCACGTTCCTTCACTTTCTTTGGACTCATCAACCAACATAAGTTTGAAACTAGTAAAAGAAATGTTAAGATCAGAATAACTTCGTCACGTTTATGCTTCAACATATTGTACCGACTCTTTTAGGAGGTGAACTTGAAATCCCCTAAACAAATATTCTTCCGGTTTTAAATATTTTAGGACAACAGAAGCAGTTGAATGCAGAGGAATAAGATTTTGTTTTGGAATCTATTTTTCTTTGTTTAGGAGGATTGATATGCCCACGTTCTACATATGATGCTAATTTGTAACATTATTATACTTACTTTTTTTAGTGAATGCACTTAATTCCGTCACTTCCTTCAATAATGGCTGAATGAAATGCATAGCTTAAATGGTTTCTTTAAAAAGCAACGAGAGGAATTAACTTTTGAATTGCTATTTATATTTTATAATACATTTGTTAGCAAAAGGTTGATTATATGCTTGACTTAAAAATGTGGTGAAAGTTAGATAGAAAAGTTAAATTTATGAAAATCTTTCCAATTATGTAGTGGGAGATATTTATGCATAATGCTAGGCTGTATTCATTGCATTTATCTTCTAACATGTAGATTATTGAACATGAGTAGATTATCTCAAGTACATCTGCATAATCCTTACATTTATGCTCTGTATAAAAGTGTGAAATGGTTCTTCTCTTTCTTTTAGGGATCTTTATATAACATATAATACATAAACTATGTATATATTATACTTTCACCTATTATATTTTAGATGAAGTGGTTGTGTAGACAGCTATTTGGGTTAATTCTCTTTTCTTTTACTATTTCACCTTTTTCTTGTGAAGAGTAAAGTATCCGTGTCAATAATTTACTTCTACTGAATATAGGATGATATAAATGATTCCATTAATAAAAAAAATTGATGAGAAATAGTTCTAATAATCTTATAAGAACAACGTACCATAAATTTATCAATTCGGAGTCCAAAATTACCATTAACAGGAGAAAAACATTAGGGTGAATTAGTAATCGTTTACAAAACTACTTCTCATGTGTTCCTCTTTTTAAAAGGGTATAAGGATGGTTATTCGGTACCTATTAGCCCGACTAATTTGTATTCGCGTTGCATAGAACCTACTTATAAGGGAAAAGTGTTACTTAATCTAATTTATCCTACCAAGTTCTTTAGTGGTTTCTCATGTGTCTCGCTTGAAATAGAGTTTACACACTTACTTAAATATAGTAAGAATTATTATACTAGACAATTGAAACTACTTTACACTGTAATATACATTACAACTAAAATAATGAAATTACATTATAATAATAATTACAGTGAACCAATTACCCAAAAGGATTATAGTTTGAACCAACTACCCGAATTATTCATCTTATACATTTTTGGACATATCAAAGCAACAGCTCTAGCAGAGGTGCGTCGTAATACATTTTTGCAGTGTGTCCATTTTCATATTTTGTCTCTTTTTACAGAACCTTTGTAAATACACTCCTCCAATTTCTAATCTTGCAGACTCATGGGCCATTTTGTGTCCCAAATTAGTCCTCCAATTACCTCATGTGTTACAAACTCTGAGGAAGAGAGTGTAACGACCTGACCGGTCGTTTTGAGAATTAACGTCTCGTTCGGCGATATAAGGTCTCGAGCAGCTTCGTATTATGTGTTATGACTTGCGTGTATGGCCGAGTTTAGTTTTCGGATGATTCGGGATCAATTTGGGAGGAGGATTCCTGTTTCAATTTGGGAGGAGGATTCCTGTTTAGAAGTTTAAGTGGTAAGAGTTGACCAAGTTTGACTTTTGTGTGTTTGACCCTAGAACGGAGTTTTGAGGGTTCTGTTAGGTCCGGATGGTGATTTTCGACTTGGGCGTAAGCCCAGATTTGCATTTGGATATCTCTAGAAGAATTCGGCGCTAATTGACAAAAGTTGAAAATTTGAAGGTTTGGAAAGTTCATAAATTTGACCAAGAGTTGACTTTGAGGATATCGGATTCGGATTGTGGTTGCGGGAATTTGCATAGCCTCATCATGTTATTTGGGACGTGTGTGCAAAATTTGAGCTCATTACGGGTTGATTTGATATGTTTTGACGCGAGTTTTGGAAGTTGAAAGTTCAAATTTCGTTTAAGTTCGAATTAAGGTGCGATTCGTCGTTTCGATGTTGTTATGTGTGATTTGAGGCCTCGAGTAGGTCCGTAATATGTTATGGGACTTGTTGGTATATTCGGACGGGGTCCCGGGTGGCTCAAGTGAGTTTCGGACGTAGTTCAGATCCTTTCAAATGGTTTTTTGCATTTCTGGTTTTCTGCTGTTACCGGTTGCTTCTGGTGTTTTTCGCAATCGCAAAGGTAAGGCCGTGATCCCGGAAGGTGTTTTGGTCTGTTGTGGAATTTTCTCTCTACGTTCGCGTGAGTAAGAACGCATTCGCATAGGGAGGGGTTGGATTTCATCGCGTTCGCAACTGCATCTACGCGTTTGCGTAGTGTTATGGGCTGAGCTGGTCAGGAGGAAGGTTTCCTCTTCGCGTTCGCGATGTTGTTCCCGCGATCGCGTAGTTTTGTGGGCTTTGTGTATCGCGTTCGCGAGACTAGTGTTGCGATCACATAGAGTAATTCAGAGATAATGTATTTTTCTTCTTCGCGATCGCGATTCATTAATTCGTCGAGTGATTATAAAGTACTCTATTTCGAAGGTTTCAACCATTTTTGCATATTTGGAGCTATGGAGTTCAGATTGAAGCGATTTTTGAGGTGATTTTCAAGGGAGTGATTGGGGTAAGTGATTCTTACTTAATTTTGGTTAAATTTCATGTTTATGTCTTTGATGTTATCATTTAATCAGTGATTAGTGTTGAAATATTGGGGGTGGAAGGAGGAAAGTTCTTATGCCGAATTTTGGAGATTTGAGCGAGATTTTGGTATCATATTTGTGTAATTGTTGTATGGTTGGACTCTATATCGAATGGATGTTCGGTTTTTATAATTTTGGTCAGGTTCCGAGATGCGGGCTCGGGTCGACCTTTTGGAGTGATTGTGTCATGTGTCATGTGAAGGCCGTGTATGCGAGGTGACGAGTACGTGCTCGGGCTTATTTATAAAAATTTGACCGTTTAGGGTTCTTAAGTTCTTGTGTTCATTAGATATGAAATTGTTTATCATGTTAAATCCCTCATTGACTAAATTTACCCTTATATGTCTTAATTAAAATTAATTGCTCCATGTTCTACCCTTATTACCGATTAAACTCTTATGTGCGTTAACTGAAGTTGTCGCCTCTTTTATCGCCATGCTATCTTTCCGTAATTTCTTAACCTTAATTGAAATCATTATATCTCTTCTGTAATTGCTTAGCCTTAATGGAAGTTTGTTACCCCTTTCACTGTTGACGTATTCTTATTTAGGGTGATTGATTCATGTTATCTCTCTTGTTGTCGAACTGCACTTTCGTGGAATCATTATTACACATTACCTCTCCTTTGTTGAACTATTCTTGTTGAGACTATTATTTCATGTTGTATGTTTCTCTATGAGTTTGTTCTTCTGTTTCTTTGTGTTCTGAAGTTCTTGTGTTGATTTACTTGTCGTATTTTCGTGTTATTATTGTTGTTGCTGTTATATTCAATGTTGTTGAGCCGAGGAATATACGTGGTTGTGATATTGAAACTGTTTTTAGGAAATGTTATGGCATGTAGGCACATATTATGAAAGTCATTTATTTGAGTTGTTATGTTTTTGGCATATGTGTCTTGTTAAGAAAATGGTTATGTGTTTGCACGAGGTTTCTGTTGTGCGATTGTTATTGTGTTGCACGAGATTTCTGTTGTGCGGTTGTTATTGTGTTTGCACGAGATTTCTGCCGTGTGGTTGTTATTGTGTTTGCACGAGGTTTCTCCCGTGCTGTTGTTATTATTGATACGCATTCGGTGGTATAAGGTGTAGGTGTTGAAACACATGCGGTGAGATAAGGTGGGTTTGAAACGCGTGGCAAGTAGGGGAACTACTAGAAGTCATGCGGTGTGATAAAGTGGGCTAAAATGCGGGATGCTATTTTGGGAAAAATAATTTTTAAAACTAAATATAAAGGCTCCCGCAGTGATATAAGAAAAGTTATAATTCATTTTACTATCTGAGACTACAAGGCGGTACCTCGGGAGGGCTCTTGTTGTCATTTCCCATTTTCTATGCACTTGTCTTTGATTGTTATTTTCCTTAGCATACTATTATTATTTTCCTCCGTGTTACACTATTTGCTCAGTTCTATGTAGCTAATCTTGTTGTGTTGGTCGTTGCTTCAAACTTCATTGTTGCTTTTATTATACTGTACATTTCGTGGTGATCATTTCTTATGCGTCATTCATTGTCTCTACTCTTATTTGCTGACTGGAATTATGGTAGAATACTTGCACAAGAATACACGTAATTAAATCACCCATATCAGTTTTAAAATATGAATCCTAACGACATTAACCATTATACTTACTCTTGTCTTCTTGCTTTCTGTGTGAGGATTAATCTATTGGCACGTGAGTCGTCTATGCGGTTATGAGTTGTAATGTGGGCATAAGATGCCAAGTGATTAGGGTCCATGAATCGGGACCCGTGAGCTATGATTATGAGGTTCGGTACCTCGTGGAAATGCTTGAACAGATCCGGTGTGAAAGTGGTTGTTCTTATTGAGTTGTTGTTGGTTTCCCTTTATTTGATTTCCCCGGACTTAGATTATGATCAGTTACTCTACAACACTATTACTTGACTGCTTCATGTTGAATATTTTTATTACTAGTGTATCATTGCAAGTGTTGTTATATTCCTTACCCTGCTTAGCTTTATATTAATATTATTTCTTTGTTAGTTCATCTACATACTTGTTCATGTTGTTTAGTCCGGTAGGTGTCTTGATTGTCCATTGTCACTACTGCACTAAGGTTAGTCTTGATACTTACTGGGTACCATTGTGATGTACTCATACTAAGCTTCTGCATATTTTTTTGCAGATTCAGGTGCCACGATTGTTGTTGATTATTAGCTGGCTGGTCGAGCTGTAGACTCAAGGTAAGCGTGTCGTCGCGTTCGCGGGCCTCGGAGTCACTTTCTGATATTTTCATTGTACTGTTTAATTTCATTCAGAACAGTTGCAGTTAGGGATTTTCTAGCAAACTCAGTAGAACTTATGACTTGTACACCGGTTTTAGGAATTGTAAGTTATGTATAAAGAATTTCTATTTCATATTTATCATTGATGGTTGAATTCTTCTATTAATTTAGTAAGTGTTAGGCTTACCTAGTCTCAGAGACTAGGTAATATCATGACATCATACGGAGAAAAATTGGGGTCATGACAAATTGGTATCAGAGCTCTAGGTTCATAGGTGCTATGAGTCATAAGAGAGTTTAGTAAAGTCTTGCGGATCGGTACAGAGACGTTTGTACTTATCTTTGAGAGGCTATGGAACTACTAGGATAGCTTTATTTCTTTCGTTCCTATCGTGCGAGTTTATTGATCACGTAGTTTGAACCATTGTCATTTTATTCTCTCACAAATAGTGAGGACACGAGCTGTAGTTACCGACGACGCTGCCCCTAGAGCCGGTATTGCTAGGGGTTGGGGCAGAGGAGGAGCACATGCTATAGCTAGAGCACCTGTCAGAGCAGTTGTTGAGGAGTCGACAATATCATTATTTCATTATCTAAATTAGTTTCATATAGTTATATTTATTGTATGAAATTATTTTTGCTATATTCGAGCAGTTCGGAGTTGAAAAATCGAGGGAAAGGCCTTCTAATTGATTGATTGAGCGTGGTTTGAGGTAAGAATCTTGCCTAACTTTGTGTGGGAGAACTATCCCTTAGGATTTGAGTCATTTGTGCTAATTGTGTCATGTGAAGGTTGTGTATGTGAGGTGACAAGTACGTACTCGAACTTATTTGTGGAAATTTGACCGTTTACAGCTCTTAAGTTCTTATGTTCATTAAATATGAAAATGTTTGTCATGTTAAATCCCTCATTTACTAAAGTCACCCTTATGTGTCTTAATTGAAATTGCGTGTCATGTTCTACCCTTATTGCCGATTAAACTCTTAAGTGCCTTAACTGAAATTGTTGCTTCTTTTATCGTCATGCTATCTTTCCGTAATTGCTTAACCATAATTAAAATCATTATTATCTCTTCCGTAATTACCTAGCCTTAATGGAATTTTGTTACCCCTTTCATTGTTGACGTATTATTATTTGGGGTCATTGATTCATGTTATCTCTCGTGTTGTCGAACTGCACTTTCGTGGAATCATTGTTACATATTACCTCTCCCGTGTTATACTATTCTTGTTGAAACTATTATTTTCCTGTTGTGTCTTTCTTTGTGAGTTTGTTCCTCCGTTTCTTTGTGTTCTAAAGTTCTTGTGTTGATTTACTTGTCGTGTTATTGTTGTTATTGTTATTGTTGCTGTTGTGCGGTTGTTATTGTGTTGCACGAGGTTTCTGTCGTGCTATTGTTATTATTGATACGCATGTGGTGGTATGAGGTCTCGGTGTTGAAATGCATGTGGTGAGATAAGGTGGGCTTAAAACGCGTGGCTAGTAGGAAAACTACTAGAAGCCATGCGGTATGATAAGGTGAGCTAAAACGCGGGATGCTATTTGGGAAAAAATAATTTTTAAAACTAAATATAAAGGATCCCGTGGTGATATAAGGAAAGTTGTGATTTATTTTACGATTTGAGACTACGAGGTGGTACCCCTTGAGGGAACTTGTTATCATTTCCCTTTTTCTGTGCACTTGTCTTTGATTATTGTTTTCCTTAGCATACTATTAATTGTTTTTCTCTGTGTTGCACTATTTGTTTAGTTCTATGTAGCTAATCTTGTTGTGTTGGTCGCTGCTTCAAACTTCATTGCTGCTTTTATTACACTGTACATTTCGTGGTGATCATTTCTTATGCGTCATTCATTGTCTCTACACTTATTTATTTACTGAAATTATGGTAGAACACTGGAACAAGCATACACATAGTTAAATCACCCGTATCGATTTTAAAAGGTGAATCTTGACGACATTAACCATTATACGTACTTTTGTCTTCTTGCCTTGTATGTGAGGATTGTTTTATTGGCACGTGAGTCATCCATGAGGTTACTAGTTGTAATATGGGCACAAGATGTCAAGTGATTAAGGTTCATGAATTGGGACTCATGAGTTGTGATTATGAGGTTCGGTACCTCGTGGAAATGCTTGAACATATCTGGTGTGAAAGTGGTTGTTCTTATTGAGTTTTTTTTGGTTTTTCCTTTATTTGCTTTCCCCCGGACTTAGACTGTGGTTAGTTACTCTACAACATTATTACCTGACTGCTTCCTGTTGAATATTGTTGTTACTATTGTATCATTGCAAGTATTGTTTTGTATTCCTTACCCTGCTTAAATTTATATTAATATTGTTTCTATGTTAGTTCATCTACACACTTGTTCAGGTTGTTTAGTCTGGTAGGTGTCTTGATTGTCCCTCGTCACTACTCCACTGAGATTAATCTTGATACTTACTGAGTACCGTTGTGATGTACTCATACTACGCTTCTGCACATTTTTATGTTGATCCAGGTGCCACGATTGTTATTGATTATTAGCTGGTTGGTCGAGCTGTGGAGACTTAAGGTAAACCTGTTGTCGCGTTCGTAGGCCTTGGAGTCACCTTCTGATATTTTTATTATACTGTTTAATTCCATTCTGAACAGTTGCATTTAGGGATTTTCTAGCAAACTCAGTAGAGCTTATGAATTGTACAACCGATTTTGGAAACTGTAAGTTGTGTATAAAGAATTTATATTTCATATTTATCATTGATGATTGAATTCTTCTATTAATTTAGTAAGTGTTAGTCTTACCTAATCTTAGAGACTAGGTACCGTCACGATATCCTACGGAGTTAAATTGGGGCCGTGACAAGTTGGTATCAGAGTTGTAGGTTCATAGGTGCTACGAGTCATAAGCGAGTTTAGTAGAGTCTTGCGGATCGGTACGGAGACGTCTGTACTTATCTTCGAGAGGTTACAGAACTATTAGGACAGTTTCACTTCTTTCATTTCTATCGTGCGAGTTTATTGATCTCGGAGTTTGAACCTTTGTCATTTTATTCTCTCACAAATGGTGAGGACACGAGCTGCAGTTACCGACGATGTTGCCCCTACGGCCGGAATTGCTAGGGGCTGGGATAGAGGCTGAGGAGGAGCATATGCTACCGCTAGAGAACCTGTCAGAGCAGCCGTCGAGGAGCCGCCAATATCTTTTTCTGTCACTATAGAAAAAGCTAAGACATTTTTAATATGCCCAAATTGAGTTGTGCATTGCGAAGGATCTGAAGCAATTTGAAAAGAAATAAGCCAAAAAAACAGTCAATTCGTCCATGGAGTTTCTTTCACACTACTTAATTTTTTAAGTTCATCCAATCACATGCAACATCCCTCATCCCCTTCCCAATGAAAAAGTTTGGAAGTGAAGTTTTCATTGGTCATTTCCAAGGAGAAAAAAAAAAAGAAACATTTTAACTGGGCCTAACAATTTCCGTTAAGGAATAGAGTTGCCGTCACTGACTACCCTTTTTCCCGTTAAAAAAAGGATTTCAATGAGCCTTAGACAATAGGTGTCCAACTTTAGCAAACTTAAAAGGACGATTGCTGTATATAAAGGATTAACTTAAACCTGGCCTTATACATAGCGGACCATTTGGGTCTTTTCCTCTGCTAGATAGCTATGAATATAAACTCTTTAGTTCTTATGGTTGGGTGTGGTCGTGAGTTTTCTTCATATTTATTGAAATTTTAATGATTTTTAATATAAAAAAATTTCTCCACACTGAAAAAGTGAAAATAGTGAGTTTCGATTAACTAAATTCTAACGAAAACAAAAGGTGTTGAAGTTATTGTAATTCACAATTGGTGCTTTAATTTCAGCTCCCAAGAGCAATTACACTCATCATAGCTACTTTAAATATTTCTATAACAAACAAGACAATCGTCTTTTTCCTGTGTGTGATTTTATCAGACTCGGACTCCATTAAGGAACAGTTGATACGTGACGGATATGAACATAAATGCATAAAGAAGAAACCAAATTGTGTTAAAAGCAAACATATTATGCATCTTTAATTTGATGCATGCACTCAAACACATTAGCTAGACTGCTTTTACTACTGTATATAATATATCACTTTATTTGAGGCCTCGTTATACAAGGATCAGCAGAAAGATCTAAGAGAATATATTAGAAGGGAAAAACTTGTAGAAACTAAAGGTTGTCCTCGATCTGAAATTCTTTAGGCTCAAAAAAGCATGTGCAAACATACGACCAAGTTGAACTTGTGCTGGCGTAGTGAGATGAATGCCATCCGAACCCATTTCTAGTCCCTTAGCGTCGAACTTGATCACATTTGAGATGTTAATTCCCAATTGAGCTGCTCTCACTTCTTCTATATATGGCCCTTCAAATGGCTTTTTCGGGTATGGTAGGACGGCCTGCGATATAATTAAAAAACGAATTTAAGATCTATACATTATTGACGTTGTACAAATATTTCCACAAATAAGTCATTTATAAAGTAATTATAAGAAAATCTCAATACCAAAAGCTGGTGATTTACCAGCCATATATCACTATTCAAGCAACACTAATAGGGTAAAAATAATTACTGGATAATGTATATAACCTAAATCCTTGAACTTTTATTACTCATATAATAAACAGAAAGTCAATCCTGAAGGAATTTTGAAATATTCCACAAACATAAAAGCATGAGTTAGAATCCAAGTTATTATATCACATATCACCGCCAAGGCTTATAGTCGAGTAGTACCGGTGGAAGCCTCTCACAACGGATGTGGGTTCAATACTCATTTCTCACCCTTCCCTTCCCCTTCTCGTTCCCTAATCCCCGATATAGTAACAACAACAACCCATTAGAGTCTCACAAGTGGAGTTTGAGACGGGTGGTGTGTACGAAGATCATATTCCTTGCGTGGGGTAGAGAGGCACATCCCCGATATAGTAGTAGAAAAAAAAAATGAAAATTATCATAGATCTAAGATTAAACATCTTATTAACATAGTATGATCAAGAAAAAGAGAAGGAATGTGTACCAGCAAAATGGGGAGGTTAGGAGAATGCAAATCACTACGCAAATCATGAACAAATTTCTCAAAGTTGGACTTGTACGAACTTGATCCATTCTTTGTTCTTATATCACCCTCACCATGATACCAAAGCAATGCCCTAAAATTTCCTCCATTTTTTTCAGCTAATTTTGCTCTTTTAATCAAATCATCATAAGCATAAGACCCACGCCTCCATCTATACAAACCAGTCCCTCCTCTTGCACAAGGTACTAAACCTATAACCCCAAATTCTGAATCTTTTTTAAGAATTTCATTAGCAAAAGCCATTCCAGGGCCAAGTGCACAACTTACTAAGCAATCAATCCCATAATTTAATGGCTCGTGTGCTTCTTCCCATTTTTTAGCAACGTTAAATCGTAATATTTTTTTATTAGGTTTACATTCTTTAGGCAGAAAACCATCCCATACTTCGGTAATATTTCCTCCAATAAATTTTCTAATGGCTCCGCCACGTCCTGCCATATTGCTTTGTCCAGCTAATAAAAATATTTGTACGTTTTTTCCCCTAGTATTGTTACACTCCTTCACTCTCTTGGGACTCATCAACCAACATAAGTTTGAGATAAGTAAAAGAAATGTTAAGATCAAAATAATTTCTTCACTTTTGTGCTTCGACATATTGTAATGACTCTTTTGGGAGGTGAACTTGCAATACTTGAACAAATACTAAATGAAGTGTTTGTTTTGGAATCTTTTTCATGCCCACGTTCTATGTATAATGCTAATTGTAGCATTATGTTACTTCCTTTTTTATAATGAATGCACTTACTTTCACCACTTCCATCGGTAATGGGTCAATGAAATGCATATCTTAATTGCTTTCTTTAAAAACCAACTAAAGGAATTAACAATTGAATTGCTACATATATTATATAGAAAATAGTAGCAAAAGGTTGATTACATTTTTTACTCAAAAGAGATGGTGAAAGCTAAAGATAGAAAATAGAAATTAATGAATATCATTCCAATCATGTTGGGGAGATATTAAGCTTAATGCCAGAATGGATTCATTGCATTTATCATCTTCCCTCCTCTAGAAAATACACGCAATCCTTTTATTTATTCTCTGACCTTACCATCTTTAATTTGTTTCAACTATAAGATTGGATGATAGGAGACAAGTTTGCAAATAAGTATAGGAGAAAGCTGTTGGGGCAACAACATAGTATTTGCACAAATGGCATTTTTGTAAAGGTAATCATTACTTCATTAGCTCAATGAGATAAACTTTTATCTTTTATTGTAGTTGAATGATTCTTTTAAACGAAAATTAGCCAACTAAATTAACGGGAGATATGATTGAAATAGTGGCTTTAAAAAGGCCAGATGGTGCAATAATAAAATTAGAGGAATTTTCAGAAATTACTATTGTTTAGTGGCTATTAACTTCTTATAGCTACCATATAAATAATTACTTTCTGTAGCTACCTTTCAGTTATTATGGTAATGTATTTGGTGTATTCGAGCTACTGTATTCATGAATACAATAGCAAAAATCGACTAAAAAATAGGGCAGTCCAGCTGTCAGCCGCTGTATTCACATATATTCATACAATGTATTCATGAATACAACGTAATAATAGGTCTCTTTAGTTGTTTATTAACGGAAAGCTGCTAATTTAAAGGGATACACTCCTAATATAACTCACCTAAATCAATTATAACACACAACATTATCAATCCAATTAAAGAGAACATTTATCAGACGCTAAAAACTAAAAAACAGAGCATTCTTCAGAGTTTCATTCCCTCTTTTTTTCTAATACAGTTCGAGTTTTTTTTTTCTGACATTGTTCGAGGTTTTGCTCGGAATTGATACAAGTATCTACAGAAATACTTTGAAATTCGATTTTCTGTATATGAATACATCATATATTTATGCCGGATACAACCTGTGATAGTAACCTACTGCCTGCATATGTCATAATAAACCTAGTGCTTGTATTCTGTTGTATCTAACAGTTGTGTTCAATGTATTCAAGTTTATTTTTATATTCACAATATTTTATTTATTCCTAATACATGGTATTACTGCTTTATTGAGTATATTTCATTGGTTGTATTCATTGATTTTTTATTTGTATTGAGAGTATTTTACTGTATTTCATTGTATTGTTGTTTTAAAGACAAATAGATACAGTTAGGTTGAAAATACAAATGAATACAGTTAGATTGAATGCATAACTAATTGATAAATAACACCAAAATGATAGATCTAACAATGTATTTAAAAATGTTGTTGTATGAACTCAAATACATATAAATACAACAGTCAAAAATCACTGTACAAAATAAAAGACAGTGTATGCCTTATCGAATACATATAAATACATCTAAATACAAGAAGAGAAACCCACTGTACAAACTAAAAATCAATGTATGCGGACCCGAATACATATAAATACATCTACAATTAGGGTCATTGCATATTTTTGTTCTCCTTTCGGCTTCAATGGTTGTTGATGAACATGGAAATATAATTCCATTGTTATATGTAAATGGTTTAACCCATTTCCCCAAACCTAATCCTAATCTCATTAGCCGCTGCCACCCTCTCCTCTGTCCTTTTCTCTTCCATGTCAACATTCAAAATCAATTCAGCTATGAACAGACCATGTCCGCTCCACTTTGGCAAAAGATACAACTCATATCAGAAACTTTGATCAAGACATTTTGAAACTCATGTTAACAGAGATGAAATCCAGCAAATCGAGATCTAGGGTTTGAGAACAATCTAGAGAGAGAACCTTCAAATAAAGGAGAATTGTGGTTCAACAATGGGGAAGACAATGGAGCTGTGAGAGAGAGATGTGTAGAGAGAAATAAGATACGATGATTTTGGGAGAGAATAAACTGAAAGAATGAGAGAGAAAAATATTATACAGCATATTTAATGGCTTAACGGTAGGAAGTGACCATAAATACATATTTTGCTATAAAAACTAAAATGTAGCTATAAAAAATAATATTTTAAAAGAGTTTTTATTTATAATAAATATGATGTAAAGATTTGCGATACGAGGTAAAATTTTCTAATATAAATACTAGCCAATGGACTAGTGTAGGATGCTACAGAGTTAATCCATGCTGGAAAAATGAGTTTTGATTTGTCAATCAGTGATAATTTGTAATACTACTAAATTTCAACGTCACAAGCTCGCCACATAATAAGGTGAATCTGGAGCAAGTTATGTAAATTTAACCGAACTAGTTATTTTTTTCTCGAATTATTATACAAATGAAGATAACCGCTAACATTAATTTTTAATTCGTAAACTCCAAATTCTTGATTCGCTTCTTTTCGACGAGCTTCACAATTGCGTCTAATAATTACTGACTTCAGTCTTACCAAATGCACCCTACACCAAACAAGAAGAAAAGAAAAAATGGAGGAAATAAAAAAGTAATGACTGTCCCCAAGGGCGGTTCTGGGGTAAGGCAACCCCAAATATTTAAGGCCCAAAAATATGAAGTATTATTATATGTATATAACATGTATTCCATAATTTATATTTATATAATTATTAATATAAGATTTTAAATTTTAATAGTTTTTAAAATTTGGTATGGATTGAGTGAGTTAATAGGATAAATTTTTCTCTCACCAAATTAAATAATATATTTATCTTCTCATCAATTCTTTTTTTCTTCCTTTATGTATAGTCTTTTAAGTTTTTTACAATTTGACTTTCTAATTTCAACTCAAATTCTCTTAATTAATTTTTTTTGGTCACATTTGATTGATCCACACACCAGAAAGCAAGTTATTTTGTGTCTCATCTTTTTTAACTAAGAAATCCACGAGACAAATGTCGCAATGTTCAAAGCACGATGCATAATGAGCTCACCCCTTTTACCATTTTCACTTAAGGGAAGAATCCAATACCATATGACGTGCGCTTAACCCATACATCATGAGTTGCGCACACATCACTAGATCAAAGTCATGTAGTTTTTTTTTTTTTTTGCGTCTCAATATTATATGGATTTTAGAAAAGAAGTTTCAGGGTCTTTTTAATATATTTTGGTTTTAGACCACCAGTTCTATTGAGTTGCCCCTCATCGATGATCAACAATTATTTACAGGCTACTACCCCACCATGAACGTACTGTTCAATCAGCTTCATCCACATTTAGTAATTGAATATTAGCTTCATTCACATTTAGTAATTGAATGACACACTCACTGCCTTTAATGTTCTTATCATTGTTGTCTTATCTTAATTGAGACTCTTTAAATTTGATTAAAAATGTCAGGGGTGGACAAGTGGCTCTAGTAGGAGACTAGTAAAGCCTTGATTTAGGCCCCAAATTTTTAATAATGGATTTTATAATTTTATTTCAAATTAGACAATATTAGTGTTTGTAGAAAAAATAAAAAAGTACAAAAAAATTGTAAAAAGGAAGGAAAGATGTTTACTCTTTAACAGTAAAAATATTTTAAAACTTTGAATTAAACTACTTAAATCTTTCATATTAGTAAATATTTTTTACAACAATATCAAAGGTAACATATTGCAAATATATGTCTAACATCTCATTTATTTAAATTACTCTTTTCTAATATAAATAATATTATTACCATGTGAAGTTAAAGAATTTATATCATTTAAGATATATACTATAAACAATAAGTATAAAAAATGACAAAATTACTTTTTTTTGCATATATGCTTGTATATATATTAATAAAAAAGTATAAGGTTTCTTATTAAAATATGGCTTTAGGCCATTAATTTTATGAAATCCCTCTTGAATGTCCACCTCTAGCCATCAGCTTCATAGCTTATGGCCTTACCCCATCCCCCTATCCCAACCCCAAGGAGAAAAAGAACAAAAAAAAGAGAGGAAAAGAACAGTAAGTGAAAGGAAAATGAAGAAAAATTCAGGAGAAAGAGAAGGCCTTAGCATTAAAGAAATGGTGATTCAAACGTATCTTATATAGCTAACCCAAGGGCTAGTTGTAGCACCATGTAATAACAATGATGAATTACTAGTTACATAATTGCAAAGTCGTTAAGTCTGCTTAATCTGTTTTGGTAGTCATTTATATATTCGAATTGATTGGGATCCAATTTCACTGAATCAGCTAGTAGGACGGAAGACAAAAGAATAAACTTGAAGAACGTCTTGTATATAATATATATCACTTCTAAATTTCACTCATACCATGAAATTGTATGAATATAAAATATCACTATTGTTTAATGATTGAAAAAGACCTAGACTAGCTAGAAATCAGCCATTGATATTTAATTGAAAAAGGAAAGATAAAATATAAATAATTTAAATTTGAAAATGGAAGAAACATTGTGTACATCAAATGACCATACGAACGAAAAATGAAAATACACAACGAAGGAATTAATTCATGGGAGTTTTAATAACTCACTTGGTTGGTTGCTTGAACTTTCATCGATTCGATGACGCT